AATTCTTCATCGTATTTGAACATCATTTTCTTATCCATCTTATTTATTTTTGGTTTATATTTCCCCTTTTTAGTCTTTTTCCTCGTACTTTCAAGTTCTTTTTCACGTCTTCGTCTTCAACTTGTTCTTCATCTGATTTTGTTTCATCTGTTTCATCATCTCCACCTTCTCCTACTGTGTCTTCTTCATCTTTTTGTTTTGTTTTTTTTCTTCCACGTTTCCTTCTTCCACTTCGTCAACCATGTACTAGTTTTATTATCCGACTTTTTCCTCTGATTATTTTTTCTTCTTCTCAAAATTTGTCATTTTACTTCTTTTTTATTGTCTTCATCTTATCCAGATATTTTCTTTTCATCGTTTTATTCATTTGTTTTGTCTTTTTTTTCTCCTTCTTTTTTGTCATCTATATAGTTTTTCATATTCTTCGTCTTCGTCTTCTATGCCTTTTTTATTTGGTTTTTCTTCATTTTATTCTTCTGAATTTTCTTTTGACTCATCTTCTTTGTTTTCTTTTATCGTCTTTTTTATTCTCTAGCTTCTTATTATTCCACATCTTCAACCTCTTCTTTTTATTATTTTTCTTTCTTATCTTTGTCTTTCAATTTTTCTTTTTCCTCGTATTTATCTTCTTTTTTATTGGTTTTTAGGATTTTTAAAGTTGCCACACATATATTTTAATATTTTTATGAGTTTGACTATCTTTACATAAATAATCGATTTCAAATGATCTTTCAAAGTAAAAGCACATAGTGTCATAGTCCATATATAATGTGAACACATATTATCCAACCGTTATAACATGAACCCTTCTTTTGAAACGAAAGGGAAAAAACTGTTTGAAAGCTGAAACAAAGTCACAATGTATAATTGATACACAATACACAATCAACTTAAGGTACAAATTTCTTCACTACAACTATTTGTAGCAAGTATAAGTCACAACCTTCAAAGCAGCAACGCAGACAATAGCAAGAGCTATATATATATTTAATTGCTCCTAATTCTCTAACCTTGTGAGTATCCCACAAACCTTAAGTATCACTATTTCTTCTAAAGAAAATAATTTTTGCAGTTTGTTTTCCTGGTGTAAGACTTTTTATGTTTTTCTCATGTTTAAGTTGATATTCTTTGAGGTTTCGAGAGATAGTATCTAATTAAATTGTGAGTTTGGACTGATACCATAAGATTGTCAGTGACTACTTTTCAAAGATTCTATATTGTTTTTCTTTTCCAAATTCATTGTACTTTTTCTTTTCTTATTCTTCAACATCTTCCATCTTGTCCTATTTTTTTACTCTCATTATTATTATTATTATTATCTTTAGTTTCCTTCTTTCTTATTATTCATCGATTTCGTCCTCCTCTTCTCCCTCTTATTCAACTTTTGGATTTTCTTTTCCCTTGTCATTTCCTTCTTTTTTCCTCATTTTCATCTTCTTATTCCTCTTAATTGTCTTTCGATTTTCTTATTCAACATCTTTTTTCTTTCCTTCTCTTCTTCATCTTCGACTTTTATATCTTCTTCTTTTTCTACTTTGTTCTACTATTCTTTCTATTTTTTTTATCTTTCAGTTTTTCTTCTACTTTATTCGTATTTTTAATTTTTTTCTCCCATTTTAACATTTTTTCTCCCCTCACCCCCCAAATTCTTTAAATTTTTCTCCTTCTTATTCTTCAACGTCTTCGTATTGTCCTACTTATTCTTGCAATCATTTAATTTTTTATTCTCTTCGTCTTTTCCTTCTTCATCTTCTTCATCGATTTTTTCTCTCTTATTCATCTTTCAGCCAACAAAGTGATTAATATGTGACATTTTCATGTTAAACGTTGATTATTCGATCTAAAATTCAAACTGAATGATAAGTCATGAAAATATAACATTAGAAACAAGGAAAAAATATAAATACCTCATAAACATTATAAATCCCAAAAATTGATTAGAATTTTACATTTAATAAACCAGAAAAAAACAGATTGTCTAGATAATACACCAACCAAGAAAACATACTCACGTTGAACTCATATCAAAATTTACGCCTGTTGTAAATTAACAAAAGGAATAAGAAATACGTGGATCCTTAAATGTATATATAAAATTTTGGAAAATAAGTACAACGCCAGAGTCTGTCCAGCAAAAGAGACGGATACAAAAAAATGTATAAACAGTTTTCCGACCATAAACACAATCGCAATGTTTGGTTTCAGTCTAAGCTCCTCCAAGTAAAACCAAGAATTAATATTCAATAGTTTTAAACATCAATTTGCCTGAAAGAATCCCATACTGGTTGCAAATACTAAGTAAAAAACGTTTTTACTTTGCCTCGAAGAGTTTATGCTGCATCTCTTGAGATCATTTTGTTAAATGGCTTTCTTGGAGTTCTTTATAAATGCTACATGAACAATTTGTTCTACAGTTCTTCAGGTTATCTTCTGCTAGAGCATTAAGTAATGAGAAGTGAGTTTCCATTGTTCTTCCTTCGCCTTTGTTCAGCATTCCACTACAAGAAAATATGTCATATTTCTATTAAAATTTTGACCATTTTTCCTATCAAATGTCATTTGTAGGTAAAACGTAAAAATTTGGTAGGAAAAATTTATGACCTGAATTTATGCACGAGAAGTCTTTTCATTTTCCCTTAGTCTCTCATTCTAAATGGCCGCCTCTTTTTTTCTATTTCTTCAAATTTTTTCTTCTTTAGTCACCAAACTTATTCTTCTTCATCTGCTTTGCAAGGAAAAATCACAAATCTAAGCTTGTGTATTTTTGGTGGAGATAACTGCTGATATGTGAGGACGGGATTCGGTGGTGGTGCTTCTTTTGCGGATGAGATCCAGTGGTGTTGCTCCTTTTGCGGTGCTCTCTCGTTGGTTTTTGCCTGTTCAGATCTGAAGTATAACGTCCAATGAGGTTGGTGGTGATTGATATGAAGTTGTGAGGGCTTTTTTTGAGGAGTGGATTCTGTTGACTCTGCAAGTTTCTCGGCGAGATTTTTGAGCATGGGTTCTTATCTCTCGCTTCCTCCAAGGTTCTGCTCTGCCTCTGAGATTGGACGAAAAGCACAAGGCGGTGGCCATGTTCTGTCTCGGCCAGCATTTGTGGCTTTCTGAGTCGGTGGCGATTTTTCTGGTGATGAATCCATGAGCGGCGGCGATCTTCTTGACATCGTTTAGAGATTTTGTGTTCTGGTTTATTTGGTTTTTGTCTGGTTTAGTTATTGGTTTAATTTTATTATAATGTTGTATTTCAATAAACCAAAAATAATTGTTTTGGTTTGTTTGTAAGAGGGGATATTATTTAGGAATTTAGGGGATACTGGATTTAGGAATTCGACTGAATTTGAAAGAAATAAGATTTCTATTAAATTCTTGTGTTATTCTTTTTTTTTTATATATATCAAACTTATCCATTTAGGATTAAAAGCCCATTACAAATGGTTTGAACCCATCAGGGCTAATTTGGCTGCAAGATCTGCATTACAATTTTCTTTTCTTGGTATGAATTTAAACCGAACAAAATTAAATGCAGCAGTACTACTGTCGATGTCAGCTAGTATCCCATGGAGATCCATAATCAAGTTTCCAGCTTCAATTGATCTTAGCACTACCTGTGAATCGGAGAGGAGAAGTAGGTTCTTGATATGAGCATTCTTTGCATGCATAACCGCCGATCTTATTGCTAAGGCTTCAGCCATCAAGGCCGATGAGACGTGTTCCACCGATGAAGAGTGAGTCGTCGATTGTCGTTGTTGGTCGTATGAGAGGATCCATGCCACGCCTGCCTTTTGAGACTCCTCATGCCAAGCTGCATCGGTATGGCATGTAATAGTTCCTGCCGGCGGAGGATCGATGAAGGGAGGATTTGGATTGGCTTTGGGAGGATCCAGATTTGGCGTAATCTGGTTGTCCTTCCATTCTCTGGCCTCACCAAATTCTTTAGATATAAGCTCATCCGCCATTAGAAGTCGGGAGCTGAAGATTTTCTGGTTCCTCGCCGTCCAAAGGTTCCACAAGATCCATGGATATAGACTTCTTTTAGGAAGGCCCGTTGGTGGTAGAGTGGATAATTCCATAACATCTTTCAAGCCTGAGAGAACATCTGTCCAATTCGAGGTGATCAGGCCTGATGTCCATGGAGATCGGTTCCAAACCTCAACCGCAAAGGGGCAATTGAATAGAAGGTGGAAGACTGATTCATTTTCTGGGCATCTACAACACTTAGAGGTGGTTGTAATCTGTCGAATGGCTAACTGTTCTCCCACTGGTAAGGCATTTTGAAGAGCTTTCCATATGAACATTTGGATCTTAGGTGCTGTTTTAACTTTCCATACTACATTGTTCCAATCTGTTTCAGGGTGAGGAGGGTTGATTGCTCTCTCATCGCTATCTTCCGTAGCCACCAGATACCCGAGCGAGTCGAGTATTCATCACTGGCCTGTCTTAACCAGATAAGTTTATCTTGAGCTCCTATAATGCTTGTTTTGATGGACATGATTTGGCCTTTGTACTCAGGCAGCACAGCTTCTATTTTCTCCGGGTCCTATTGGCTCTTGTGTTATTCAATGAAGTATTCAATCAATTCTTTTAAATGTATGTGTTATTGGATCTAATTACTTGTAGGCATTCTTTTAAAATACTTTAAATTCTACTGTTATTGGATCCATGAGTGCTTTAATTCTATTAAATATCTGTGTTATTCAATATATGCTGGGTTTAGTGGTATCGTCTTTTACAAAGATTTGAATAGAAAATTGATTGTAAAATGTAAAGAAACAATTCTGGGCTTTTATGCTGGGAATTGGATGGAATTGTGAATCCATGTGGCGACTACATGCTAATCATGCGACCACATTCTATATTGTGATTTTAATCACAAATGCTAATCAATCATATATCATAAAATCTCTAGTTAACTATACATATATCCTAAAATCTCTGCAAAATGGTATTTGAATTTAATTGTTCATCATAATTTCCAGTCAATCATATATTATAAAATCCCTGAAAATAGTAGAATTTTAAAAAAATTTAAAAACTCAAAACTTATCTGTTATGTAATCTCCCCTATACATATATATATATAAGGTTGCATCTCTCTCTCAAAGCAACAAAAAAAAAATATCACTAAAGGAAAAAAGGTATCGTTCATTTTTGAAAGGAGTAGTTCTTGTATTCAATTACATTGTTTTGTATCTTTTTGCTTATAATAAATTGTTTTCCATTTTCTTCAAAAGGTCTTCCATCTGTCAATTAATGTTTTTCATATGTTATATCATATACATATATTATATATTGAATTATTTTCATACATGCACATGTACGTTAATGTATTCATGTAATTTTTTTCTTAATTAGATGGAAACCGGAGAAACTTCACAACCAAAGAAAAAAATGTGGATATTTCCCGTGGACATCCCAGGAAAGTCAATTGTTGAAACGTTTATTGGTGGATGGTATTAAACAGGGATGGCGTGACTCAAATGGTTCTATAAGCAAATCAACGATTGAGACGAGGATACTGTCGGTTCTAAATAAAAAACTCGGCTGCAGTAAGACTTACAAAAATTATGTGAATCAAATGAAATCTTTGAAAAAAGAGTATCAAAGCTATGCGGAACTTCTCCGATGTAGTTCTGGTTTTGGGTGGGATCCCATTTCAAAACAATTCACAGCTTTGGATGAGATGTGTGAAGAAATTTTAAGGTACTTTTAATCTCTTAAATATTTTTTATTAAAAGTTCATAATTTTTTTTTTTCACTAATGAATATGTCACATTGATTCAGGGACACCCAAATCATGAATACATTTGGGGTAACACTTTTGAAGACTTTGAAGATTTACAAATCATTTTTGAAAGTGCTATTGCAAAAGGAAACACCATGTTTGGACTAGGTGGTGATTCAAATGCTGCAACTTTTGAAGTTGAAAATGATGTTCAAGAAAGAGAAGATGTTCATATGGAGAATGTTTCTGAAGCTAACGAAATAGCATATGAAACTCTTAAAGAAAAACTACCATCTAGGAAGCGAGTCAAAACCCATGGTAATCCATCAGAGTCAACTAATCATGGTGATCGTTCTGAAAATGTACTAACTGAAATGATTGGAATTAGCACTGTTCTTATAAATCTTATTCAACAAAGAGAAGAAAGGCATCAAAGAGAAGAAATGCATCAAAGAGAAGAAGAGGTACGAGAAACTGAAAAAAAAAAAGAATAATGTTTGGGATGCTATTAAAGAAATTCCCAACTTGAAAGAGTATATTCGCTATGATGCAGTAACTAAGATTCACAAGCTGAAAATGAAAGACGCGTATTTGTTTGCATGTCCATTGAAGAACGTTTGGGTTGGATTCTCCGTAACACCTACTTTAAATACTTATTTTTAGGCTTTTGGCTATGCATTTGATAATAATTTTGAATAATTGTTTCAGTTTACTATTTTTATGTTTTTTTTTCCAACAAATATGTCATTTGATTTTCAAATTAATAAAATTTTCATTTTTGAATAAACTATTTACTTTCTAACTGAATCTACTTTGTTAGAGAGAACTCTACGAGTACGGGAACAAAATATTAACTGAGATGAGCAATTGAGCATAGTTTTGTAAAATCGATCACTTGTTTCAATTATGAAGTCAAGGTAAATTCATCATGAGGCTTGTAATGGGCTAAAAATTAGTTATGGTGGACCATAGTTAGGTATTGTGTTTGTATTTAAAGAAAGAATTTCTAAAATATAATCCTAAAAAAAAATATTTTTACACTAATTTCAAAACCAAAAGATATGTGCAGACGTGTGTATTTGTCAACATTGCAAGATTTAAAAACTATTTTAGATTTACAAATTCAAATAAGAAAACCAATAACATTTAAAAAAAAATATAGAAACTGTTTGATAATTTTGGTTAACAAATATCAGACGATCCCTTTAAAATAATATTATTTCTATTCAATCAGTATCATGGAATCATTAAAATATAGTATACAATTAGATTAAAATATATAAATTTGAGAACTTGTTACGTAAATTTGAAATTATATATACTATAATTGGAATTTATAATTAATATAAATTTGTTAATTTCAAATTTGATTTCGGAATTAATTTAATTTTGAAATTAATTTTATTGATATTTTTATTATTATGATAGAAAAATCGTAGGAAATAGTTTATAGAAAAACGGTAAAAAATAGTTCGTAGGAAAATGATAAAAAATGGTGAGGTATTTTCTATGACTTTCCTACCAAAATTTCCAACAAAATTTTTCTACCAAGAGTTTTGTAGAAAATTTACTACCATTTTTTTACCATTTATAATTTTTGACGGCATAAAACCTACGAAAATATTTCGTAGAAAATTGGTAAGAAAAGTATGTCTCTTACAATTTTTTTGATAATATATGTCGTAAAAATATGTGATATTTTCTTGTAATGTCCATTTTATCACCTATGAAAATCCAAAAACCTTTTCCTTATTCACCTAACTAAAAGTTACTAGACTACTTGATGAAACAGTTCCTCTTGCTTTTGTAAAAATACATGTATTTATAGTTTTGGATCATTCTAAGGGATTTCCTAAACCAAAAAAAAAAAAAAAACAACTTGATAAGACACCAGAAATATAATACCAAGGTATTACACACAATAAATTTTTGTAAATAATTTACACATAGGCTAAAACACACAAAAAGAATAGAACTACATAAAAAAGATTGATAACAAAATAGAAAAAAAAAACAAAACAGAAACCAAAAAACGAACATGAGACTCAAAACTTTAATACCTATATAGAGATGATACGTCAGCACGACAAACATGAGCAAAACAGATCACGGTTGAAAGTAAACACCTACACAATAAGACAAGAAAAACGAATGATCGGTTACATGGAAACTAATCATACATAAAATTAAACATCTCGAAAACACAGCAACCAACAATCAGCCCACTAAACGGAAAAAAAAGACTAATAAAAGAGAAAAGATCACAAAGACGATTAACATTACAAAAGGAAATAAACCACAAATTAAAATACCAAACAGGCAGGAATACAATACGGGGAATAACAAAATAAAAGCAAAATTCATAAGTGCTGATACGTGTTACCCAATAAAGATTTGAACCTACAAAAAGGAAAACATCATTTAACCAATATGGAATGAAGAACCATAAATAACATTCGATGAATTCAAACTAAATCGAGAAAAGGAACATATTTTCAAAAAATATTACCATATTTGATTACCATATTTTTGAAAGTAATCATATATTAAACACAAACGACTAAACACAAAAATAACACAATTTTTGCTAAAACTATCGATTCGAGAAACAGAGCAGTCATGATAACAATGCAAGACAATGCGATACTTGTCAACACCTAGCAAAAAACAAGAACAAAGCTTAAAACAGAAAAATTCTATATGAAATAAACAACCCAAGCGAGAGGAGACAACTAATAACTATCTTGTCCATCTATAATTTATGCATATGTTTGGATTCACACATATTTCGCTATACACATAATAAAATTGCGTAGCCAAAGACCTATACACAGGCAATACACCAAAGGACAGAGTCTCTCCTATTCAAATTAGTATATAATCAACCATAAACAAATACCAGAATTAGATATATAATAATAACGGAAACATAAAAGTGATTCGTCTCACAATCGGATGTGACATATGTCCTCTTCATAAGCATCATTGGTTACATCCCATAGCTCCCTAATCCTCAATACAGTACACACCACATCTATTTTAACCAAATAAAAAGAAGTAACAAGCACCAAAACACACATGAAATAGCCAGTCGCCAAATTCTATAAGATATTACCAATCAAAAACTCAGGTTCAAATGCTAGCATCACAACATCAAAAAGTCAACTTGGCAGAAGAAAAAATTCAAAAGATATGGGCTGAATAGGAAATATAGCAACGGATAGCGTAAACTCCAAGTATCGATAATCTTCCTGAGATTAGAGAACCTAGAGACGATTCAGAATTCAGTTCTTCCTGAGAATTCAAAGGCGAAGTCGATTTCTGAAAGAGATACTCTCTTAAAAGTTTATTAAATCAAAAGCTGCCGTACAAAGATGAAATAGCTAACCTATTTATAATAAGAGATGAGACGCTAACACCAAACCCTAGTCTCATTAAGTAAATAAAATAAAAGAAAAGGAAATAATAAAACCAGCAAAGAGTTACGTAAAACTTAAGTAAAACAAGCAATGTTATGCTGCATCAGGTCATCCGGGGTGAAAAAAAATTCGACCTCGAATTTGTAGTGGTGTC